GGACCTGCTGGGTAAAGCCACGAGGAACCCCAGAACGGGCTCCCACAGGCCTGGCATTTTGTATTCTTCCAGAAGTATTTACAGCCTCTGCCAGCCCCGCCCCCCCCATACACACACCTTCTAGGCGCAATAGAAGGCACTAAGTCATGTGCTTGTCTAGGTCACCCTCTGGACAAGCCCCTCTCTGGATGTGTCCTCTCCCACTCCCACCTCTCCTCTTCATAAGCCACCCCCCCCTTCTGAGATGGCTCCTGTTGCCTGGGTCTCCTCTGTGGCCAAGGCCAGGGTAACTTCTAATCTTACCTTTGGCTACTCAGGCATCATACATTCTTGTTTCCTCTGCATCTCACCAAGAAACCAACCCAGGCCCTGGCAAGGAGCAGGCACTCAGAAAATGACAAATGTCACCTGGAAGGAATACTTTTAAGGGGCCGTTTTTTGCATTCAGAGAACAATAATATGACATGGACACTGGAGGGCGACAAAAACCAAAGAATGGCATATTGGTCACCGTCACGAACTGTTCCATTTACAGGCTCTGGGTGGCTCCTGTGAGTCAAACGATCATACACAAAAGCATTCACCAAATAGGGCGTTGGGACAGCATCTGTCCTGTCTGAGATGTTGGCACTGAGTCAGGGCAACCAGGGAAGGCAGCTGTCTTTTCCACAGCAAGCCAGGAAATGCCCTCAGTAGGGATTAAGCTGTCCTGGTAGGACAGGGGCTGGTGAAGGAAGGCATCAAAGGGTGGCTGCCCACCTCACCACATCATCCAGTCCACAGCACCGCGCCATGTGTTGCTCTTGATCGACTCTGTTCCCCTCTCTGCGTATTAAGGGGCCTGCAGAAACCATCAGGCCCATGAATGCACATGCCGGGCCCTGCACCCACCATCCCTGCAGAGGATCACGCCGGCCTCGCAGCACCCAACAATGGAGGTCAACAGCGGGCTTGCCTAGACAGACCCTACCCGGCTGGCCGTGGGTACATTTCTCTTTCTTCCCTCCTTACATACCTGGCCATGCAGATGGCTCTGCAATAGTCTGTGCCTTCTAAAACACTTCTCTCAGACATCGGGCCTCCTGGCCAGCCAGCCCATTACTTCTCTGACCTTCTTCTCCTCCTCCCCCCACCCCCACCCCACCCGACCCCACCCCCGCTGCTCCTTTCTGCAAACATCCTTGCTCTGCTGCTATTGCTGATGCCCTGGCTCCCAGCATTCCAGAACTGATGATCTTTGGTGACTCCCTAGTCAAAACGAAACCTTTAGTGTGTGACAACCAAGAAATAAGCCCAGAGAGTTGAAGGACCATGCTACAGGTCCCACAGCTATCTTCTGGGGGGGGGGAGGCCCGCGGGGGGAGAAGTATATGCCTCCTGAAGGGTCCAACTGGTTCAGAGCCACCTGAATTAGAGGTCATACACATAGGCACAAGAGCTCCCCGTTTAGACTCCCATTTAGGATCAGGTGCTAAAGGCCGGGAACAGGTGTGATGCCATGTGGTCCTGATGCCTCTAGTACAGGATCATTTCACCATGTTACCAACTCCATCTACAGCCACCCCCGGTCTAGCCCTATTCCCGTCGCTGTATACATTAACAGGACAGAGAGGAGGCACACGATGCTTGGGAGACATAGGAAAGGAGGCAGAAGCCTGCAGCCGCCAGAGCGGAGCACTCCATTTGGCGTTTACACAGTCCAGAGTTTGTACACCTGCTCTACCTCGCTTTAGCCCCCACACTGATGAAGTGAGGCAGACCTTTCCAACCCAAGCTGCAAAGAAGGGAATGAGAGGGGGAGTTAAATCAACTGGGAGTCCACAGGGCTGGTGTTGGAAGAGAGCAGAACACTGTGGTCCAACGCAACTCCCAACCCTGTACTCCAGCCTGGCCTGCCAAAGTCCTGCTAAAGAAACCAGCCTCATGCCCTTCTTGCAGCCTCATTCTGTGGCTGAGAGAGAATCTAGAGTGGAAATACATCTTTGGGAACTCTGGGTCCAAACCTTCAGCACCCGGTTCTCTGCCATGCACACAGTAGGGGCTTCGTGAAGGTTTGAGGCTATAAGCACAGGACAGCTAGGGACATCCTTGTGAATTAAACCCACCCACTGCAACAGCCGTGCAGAAGAAAGAGGCTGAAAGCAGCTGGAGACAGTTGTTAGAAAGCTTGGAAACTGTTCCCAGGAGGCATCACACAGCCTTCAGCATCCATTCCAATTTACATAGAGCATCTTGCAAGTCTAGCTGGGGGGTGGGGGGTAGGGTATGAGGCAATGCAAAGCAGCATTCAGCCTGCCCCAGGGACGTGTTCCGCTGGCCTTCACTGTCTTCTGATGGTAGAGATGTTTACAGGTGACAGCAGATTTGCATGAACAGCTGTCGTCTTGCCTCTGGATCCTCTTTCTATTCAGCCTCCCGTTGTTGTCTTTCATTTTTTTCCACAGCTACCTAACTGGCATGTGGGTTCTCATAGGGCAAGGAAGCGCCTTATTCTCCCTACGTGCCCTCTCAAAAGAAATACCTTTAAAAACCAGGATGCTCCACCACCTTTTCCCTTTGTTACAGCAAAGGTATGAGTGTCCTGAGAAAGGAATGTGGCTAATGGAAGATGGAGGATGAGATGCAAGACCCTTCCATGTCTGCAGCTTCCCCGGACACTGCAGTCAAGAAACTCATCTTCTCTGGGCCAAGAGAAGAGCAGGTTGGAATTTGTGTGGACATTTAAGGCTTGAAGCTGGGGACATAGCTTAGTGGTATAGTGTCTGCTTGATATGCACAATTCCACA